GGTTCTGGCTGCAAACCAGGCAGCAAATTGGAGCAAAAGAATTGCAAACAAAGGGCTTTTATTTATTAGTTCTTAATGTTGTTTGGTTTAAGTGAATCAGTCTGAAATGGTTGGTAACTCAGGTTTAAAATCATTTACATCAGTGGATTTCTGCTGATGGGTGTTTGCCCTTACATCTTCCTTTTAAAAAAAATATGTCGATAATGTTATTTTCCCAATATAGCTTATATTAGAGGAGGCCAGAATCAAGGTTGGCACCCAAACACCCCCTTGCTTTGAGGATGTCCAGATCCCAACTTCATGACTTTGATCTCTGTAACAGGCTGAATCCGAATGCTGCATATGAATGTTCTGTGACCTTAGGAGAGTCCAGATGATATGTGAAACTCCTTCCAAGCCGTTGAGTTTCACATGCTTTCCAGCCAAAGTGCCCCCATCTCACAGAAAGGGATGGAAACCTAGGCCTAGTTTTTGAGCATGATCCAAATGTTGCCTTCAGTTTTTCTAGATCAGTGGTTCTCAAAGTTTTCTATTGGTGACCACTTTCACGCAGCAAACCTCTGAGTGCAACCCCCCCTTATACATTAAAAACACTTTTTTTTATATTTAGCACTATTATAGATGATGGAGGCGAAGCGGGTCTTGGGGTGGAGGCTGACAGCTTGCGACCCCCCCACGTAATAACCTTGCTACCCCCAGAGGGGTCATGAACCCCAGTTTGAGAACTTCTGCTCCAGATGCTGGAGTGTACTGAACCACCAAGTCCTTGGACCAGTCTGTGGTCCGATTGGGTTTATGCTTTGCTTATAACTGCTGCTGAGAAATGAACCAGGATTCTCAACATTTGTAGGCAGCAGCTGTAATAGAGGAGTAAAAGGGAGGCTTCTTTCCCTCCTCTGCCTCAGCCAGTAGGAACCACGCTGAGCTGCCCTCAGCTGGAATTTGCTCTTTGCATATTTTACACTGCCTGCTGCAGATACTCTTCCTTCTGAGTTTTGTATCCCCTCCCTGACATGCACTGGGCCAAAGTCTGCTTTCAGTTACTCTACTGCAAGCCTGGTTGATTCTAAGCAGGTCTGTGCCGGTTTATCTGAGCGCAGAATTGGGCCTGAATACTTTTCTGTGAGTGGGTTGGTGGGAGGAAATATCCTGTATCATGTCGGACAGCGAGCATGCATGTTGGAACGGGACAAACGTTCTTTTAGAATCTGGAAGAACATTTTATTCCCCCACCTCCTTCCACACTTGCCCCACTAAGCAACTTAACTAATGCAAAAAGCTTTTGTTTTTAACGGAGGAAAACGGCCATGAAGTGGAACTGAGCTTTCAGCTTTGTGTATGTGAAAAGGATTGTTTAGCTGTGTGCGTTGGAAGATTGCTTGGTTTGGGGGTTTTGTTTTTTGTTTTGTTTAACTTTTATTTAGTTATTCCCTAAGGGGAATAGTTTTATCAGTGGTGTTTGTCTCTCTTACAAAAGGGAAACCCCCTATTAAATGTAGGTTGATGTGGGTTTCTGTTTTTGTTTAATTTGACTACTCTTCCCACGTTCAGTGCTGGCCAATGTACTATGGGGATAGGAGTCATCAAAGGACTAGGTGGACAATAGAGGAATTGCATTACATTTTCAATAAAGCGAGCGATGTGATGTATGGATTTTTATGGTGGATGAAGACCAGTATTAGATGTTTGGGGTTCATTACTGACTCAGGGCCAAATTCTGCTCTGTTTTAGAATCCACAGTAACTAAAATGCTTCAGTGGAATTACATCAATGGCATAGTATTACATTATTTATATTGTGGTAGCCCCTCGAGGCCCCAACTGAGAGCAGGGACCCATTGTAGTAGCCTCTGTACACACAGATAATGAGAGATGGTCCCAGTCTAAACAGAGACCTAGACAGGGGAAGCATCTTGCCCAAGGTCATACAGCAAATCAGTGTCAGAGCCAGGAATAGAACCGAGGTTTTCTGACTTGTAGTCCAGAGCCGACTCCCTTGGACCACACTGCTCCTGTAGTACAAAGATTATCATGTCTAGCTTCAGGAGGTGAAGATGCCAACCCTGCTAGAATAAGCAAGTGCTCAAATTCCACTTGCTCAAAATCCCCATTTTCTGGGATTACGAACCTCCTTTATATCCATCCTGTTTTGACGCTGCTGTTTTGGGGAAAGTAGTAAAAAAATGGGGGTCCTGGTGTGCAGTGTAAATATCTTCATTGAGTCAGACATCTTACATACATACAAGGCCTCATGCTTCATAGTACAAGCCAACCGCTAGTTTCTCCTGTGGACAGTTGTGTTTGACAATTGTGGATGTTTCTTGCATCTTCCTCTGAAGTATTTGGTACTGGCCACTGTCAGAGACAGGATAGTAGAATAGATGTATCACTGCTCTGATACAGCCTGGTAATTCCTTTGTTCCTAAGTATTTGTAATGTATCAGAGGGGTAGCCGTGTTAGTCTGGATGTGTAAAAGCAGCAGAGTCCTGTGGCACCTTATAGACTAACAGACAGACGTATTGGAGCATGAGCTTTCGTGCGTGAATACCCACTTCGTCAGATTGCATCCGACGAAGTGGGTATTCACCCACAAAAGCTCATGCTCCAATAGGTCTGTTAGTCTATAAGGTGCCACAGGACTCTTTGCTGCTTTTAAGTATTTGTAGATCATTAAGAGGGAGGAGGGGTCACTGGTACACAGATGCAGTCAATGGACCAGATTCGTGACTGCAATCACTCATGAAAACTTGAGGGCAGTGGATTATCTGCCCATTTCAAAGGAGTGAGTTGGTTTTCTAGATGTTTGATTTAAAGCTGGGAGGTGTCGAGATGCCAAATCAATCTGTTTGTATAAATAAATTTCAGTTGTGCTGTATTTGCACTATGAAAGCCAGAGACCTGGAATGTATTTCATGAGGTTTATTTTGCCAGTCAGGACACACACATTTTGTCTGGTGTTGTCAAAACACATGGCCACACGCATGTCCAAGTTAAGTTAAAGGGCCGACTATAATGCACAATGGCAAAGAAATGTAGTTTATGAGCCTTACTCTCTTCTCTGAACAGTTTCACATCAGTCTGTGGGTTTCAGTTGAATTCCTCCTCTCTGAGGGCTTTATGCACCTCCCATTGAAGTCAGTGGCCAACCTGCCATTGACTTCAGTGTTGCTGGATCACACCCTCACACAGCTGTAAATCAGAAGGTTCTCCAGCCCAACAAATCCATTCTGTCCTGAACTCACTCCAGGGAGACCAATTTGAACCACATGCCCACTGTTGATATTACACAGTCTTTGAATGTGCTGGATCACATCTGTGTGAATTCGAAGAGAGGCGTGCCTGAGTCTGTAGGGTTTGCCTGTCTCTCATATACAGGATGTCCTTAGGGAGATGAGGCTGAAGTGATTTTTTTATGCTGGATACCCTCATTGTCTCTGCTGTCTCTGGGCCTGATCCTGCACCCATTGAAATCCATAGGAGTTCGTCATTGCAGCTTTAACAGTTGCAGGATGGGGTCCTTTTAAAGACATTCAACAGCCCCTTTGCCTGTTTATAAATGAAAAAGGAAGAATTGGACAGATGTGCTGTGGATTGAATTCTGCTGCTGTAAATGAAGCTACAGCAGTTTCTTTCTAGAAGTATATAGGCATACAGAGCTTGGAGGATAAACACACCGGGGAAAGGGTTCTCTAGAAATGCACTGTTTTGAGGGCTCAGTGCAAAGGGCCTACTTAAAATTGTGTGACGTCATATGGAGGCAAGGACCAGGGCTTCCCTTTTCTTAAGTTTCCTTGTTTTGTTTTTTTTCTCATGATGAAATGTTCAGAACAAGCTTCTGGGAGGCAAGGGGTTAAAATAAACGCGCTTCATGTTTATTAATGCCAAGACTCCAGATTTGCAACCAGGGTTCAGAGGTATTTAGATCTGAGGTTTTGCTTTGGACCTGTCTCTAGTTCAGGGTATAAGATAATAGCTATGGGGGCCAAAAGGTATTCCCTGTCCCAGCCAATATATACGTTATTGCACAACTAGCTAGGCCTGTTGCGAAAGGGTTTTTATCATCCTCTGAAGAACCAGGGATAAGGCCACTACCCGAGGCAAGATGCCGATCTTTATGGTCTGTTGGTCTTGTCTGGTATGGGAAGTTCTGTGTAACAATAAAGGCAGTCAGGCCCAGCCTTCCAGTTTGGGGGGGAGGAGGGTGTCAAATTTTGGGAGGGGAATTGGGCCAGGACATTTGCAGTCCCACTGCTTGAGACAGTAGGAGAAGGATTATCTAGCGGTATGTGTCTTTTAAGAACATAAGAGCGGCCAGACTGGGTTAGAGCAAATGAAGGTCCATCTAGCCCCGTATCCTGTCTTCTGTCAGTGGCCAATGCCAGGTGCCCCAGAGGGAATGAACAGAACAGGTAATGATCAAGTGATCCATCCCGTCGCCCATTCCCAGCTTCTGGCAAACAGAAGCTAGGGACACCATCCCTGCCCATCCTGGCTAATAGCCATTGATGGACCTATCGTCCATGAACTTATCTAGTTCTTTTTTGAACCCTGTTTCTGCCAGAATGCCTGGTCTCACTGCTGCTGGGGAGAGCAGGCTCGTTGATTTGTTGTTGAATGTGTGCAGGACCCTAAAAATGGAGGGTTAACAAGCAGTCCCTTCAGTTTCTTGTGCTGAAGGTCTGGTTCTGAAGGCAGCTTATGTTGTATTTTAATAACCTATGCTTGAATAAAGGGGAAATGTAGGGAGAGAGAAGCATGATCCAGTGGCTAGATTGCAGGACTGGGAATCAAGAGACCTAACCTCTATTCCTCACTCTGCATTGACATACTGCATGGCCCCGGGCAAGCCATTTCATCTCCCTGGGCCTCAGTTTCCCCATCAGGAAAAGCGGGTGGGGGGGATACCGATACTTACCAATTTTGTAAAAAGACCTAAAGATGGAAAATACGGTGTCAGGGGAAAGTGCTTCACTGTTGGCGCTTTTTGTTTTCTTTTACAGAAGAAAATGAAAAGCACGAAAAGCTCCGCCTAGAAAGAGAACAGGAGCAGAAGAAGGCCAGCGTACAAAAGGTTAACAATGCCTTTCACCCAGAGGACCCAAGGAACGAAATCCCAGCAGTGCCCATCTCTCCCCCTGCACCAGCTCCTCCTCCTCCTCTGCTGCCACCCCTAGCAGCCCCCATATCAGTCATTCCCATCCCCGTGGTCACTAGCTCACCTCAGCAAGCAGCCCAAACCACTCTGTCCCCTCCGCTCATACAACGCCACCAGCCTCTCATAAGCACTCCCAGCATCAGCAAGGAAGTGTCCTCAGTTGCACCTGTTATACAGAGACCATCTGGCCCACTTCTTCCAGACGTCAAGGCTCCTACGCCCCCTTCAGGTAGCCCCAAGCAGTTACCGCAGTATGCAGCTCCAGTACTGGCCATCTCTCAGCATCACGTGGTTCAGCAGCCAATACAGCCCCAGCCTCAACCACATCAACCTCTGCAGCAGCACCAGGCACCGCCTCAGCAGCTCAATGCTCTTAAGCTGGCCCCGGCAGAAGATGCCAAACCAAATGAGCAGAAGAAGAGACCTGGAGGGTGAGTCCCCAGAAGCTTATAAACCGTTGTACAAATACGTCATGTTGCCGCAATGTAGGATCTTTGGAGAGCTTGTGAGGGAAAGGAAATGGAGGAGGATTGGGGGAACGGGATCTTTGAATACTGCACCAAACCCGAGACACCGCTGCTTTGTGGAGGGTTCTCCGACCCTGTCCACAGTCAGATCACAACCATGCAGACTCCATGAGCGTTTGAATACATTTGTTGGCGGTGGGATTTTAGCTTGGCTTTCTCTGACCAGAACGCAAGTTTTTGTCTGACCCCCACACTACATTATAAAACAGTTCGCTAGACTACCTCTCTGATCTGGAACAGTGCGCAGGCAAAAAACCTGTCCCTGATGGCCAGGGAAACCATGCAGGGACCCTGTTAGCAACAACTCTGTTTAAACGTGTCATTACAGTATCCCAGTGCAGACAGCATCGTAGTTATTTCTTTGTGCAATGATCATTTTAAATTCTAAATTAAATGAAAGGTGAGCACACGGGCACCGTCCTTCACAGAGAAGGAATGCCCTGGCTCTGATGTGCAGAAAGTAACAGAGCAAACATGCTCACGTTTAGCTCTGGTGGATGAGGTCTTTGTGGTTGGCATCTTAGTTCAAGAATTAAAGGGGAATCTTGTTGAGACAAAATTATACCATCCTGGCCTGGAGAGATCACCTTTACCTTTAAGGGGTAGTGACGGCATTCAGTCCCTATTGTCCATTCAGCCTTCCATGCCTCTGCTGAAAACAAGGATGCCAGATGTGATGCTGGCCTTTTTGGTGTGCATGGCTGTTCACCAAGAACTGGGTTGGTACCAAGCAACGAAAAGTGGCATTGTCTTTTGCTCATTACCAAACTGAGCTGGATTTGTACCTCTAGTCAAGAGGTTCAAAGCTCCATAGTCCATTGTTTATATCCTATGCTTGCCAGTCCCCTCTGCATTAGTTCTCAGCATTGCTCTAAAGCGACTGGTAAAACAACAAGAATGGAGGGCTGTGAATTCTGCTCATTTGTGGAGAGAGGGTGCCTGGCATTGCTGAAGAGTATCCTCCAGCCCTTGGCTGACTAAGGAGTGATATTGACTCTCTGCCAAGGGGGAATCTCATCTTGTTCGCCTCAGCCAAAGGATAATGGCTGCAGTATGGTGCCTTGAGAGCAGGGGAGGGCTATAAGGTGTAGGAGAAGATTAAAAGATCCATAGTGTCTTTTGGGGATGCAGAGGTTTCTGGCCTCTACCTGCTTTCTTGGGAAGAGGGATAGAAAAGAGCCTAAACAGGAAGCTGTGAAGAGGATGGCATTTTATTCTCCTCAAAATATGATTAGAATTCCAGCTAGAAAGGTTATGATCTTTACCGCTTGATTATCAAAAATGCCAGTTGCTACCAGGATTGCTGGTGAAAAAGAGATTGCTCGTCCAGATGGCTCGTTAGACACGTAACTGGCCCTTTGTGTTCATGCAAGTCCATAGTCTATGCAATTCCAGTGATTACACTTCCTTAATAAGTGAGCAGTTGGGTGCCTGATTTTTGGGAACAGGCCCTAAGTGTTTCTTTCTGTTTCGTAGAACTAGCTCTGTTTTTGTGGAACGGGAAAAGTGCTGCTTCAAAACGGATCACCAAAGCCCCAGTCCCTGGGTCAGTCTGTAGGACTCTGCTTGTTGTAAGCAGCCATTTCCAGACTTGCACCCATTATTCCTGGAGGGTTCTAACAATGTGCAACACACTTGACAATTTGGCTTCAAACATGATGTGCTTGTTTCCAGGGCAACAGGACTATTAAGTTTTGCACTCCATACCAGGCGTGCCTGGATCTAAGAGCGTGTACCATACGCTGAGCAAGCCACCTTGTAAATGCTATCCTGTTTAATGCATGTGGGTCAGACACCTCATGGTCTGTGCTGTTGTCTCTCCAGAGCTGCTTGTCCAGACACACGTATATGGAGAGATGTTTTATTCGGCTCATAAACGTTTCATGGGAAAAGGCCCTTGGCTATTTATTTTTAATTGATTGAATAGTTTTAGCCCTTATTTAAAAAATGACCCCACTTGCAGCATATTTTTAATTAAAGGTAAATCATTTTGTAGAGACTTTATGGACGATACTAGAGCTCTCTCCCTGTCTAATAATATACCATAGAATCTGAACACCTGAGCTAAGTTGTAGTGAGGTGGAGGTGACATTTGTGAATTCATTCTGAAAGAAGTTTTTCTCTGTTTTTATAAAAATCTGGAGCACCTGGCCCCTTACTGTCTTTGTTGGACAGTGACTGGAGAATTCTGTTTTCCTTGATTATATTATTTCATATTTATATTTGGTTACATTATTTCAGTTACAGCAGAAAACGAAAACGCCTGCCAAGTACCATATGTTTTAGTTTATAATTGCAGAACTCCCACTCCGACTGGTGGGTGGGCATGGATTAGAAATGGGCCTGAAGTCTGGCTCCAAACACTCTGTCAAAGCTTGGATACTACTATAGTGATTAGTGCTGTATACATACCCAAAATTCACACTAATGTAAATACCTCTGAGCTTTGCATCTTGTCCCCTCTTTAATGTATATACCTAATATACTAACTGGAACCTATATCTACCTAGTATACAGTATATACATTATATATTGTGTATGTGTATGAGATATATGTGTGTGTTTATAATATATTATTTACATATATAGTATAGATCATATATATAATAGGTCTATGCTATATTTACAAATAATACATTATAAATACTTCTAATTTCTGAACACTTTTCAAACGTTCTTTACAATCTCCCCCTATATCTCAGATACACACACTGCTGAAAGCTCAAGCTGACTGGACATAGTTCTAAACCTGACACTGAGTTTATCTTTGTTCTGTTTGGGTTGCAGGGTTGGGACCAGGGAAGTACATAATAAATTGGAGAAGAACAGGTGCGTAGAAAGCCAGATTTTTGTTTATTGTAACACCCTTTCTTTTGCTTGTAGTCTATAAATACTCGTTTTTCTAGAAAGACTTGAACGAAATTTGTAGTGACTTTAATTAATCCTATATTACCCGGCTTCCTTTTAGCTGACTTTTGTCTCTGTTGCTTCCTAATATGTTTTGCTTACTACCTAATTGCATTACAATAACCTTGCAAAGCCCTGATCCAGCAAAGCACATCAGCACATGCATATTGTTATTGTTGCTTATCATTGTATTAAAGAAGTACTTAGAGGCCTCACCTGAGATCAGGGCCCCACTGTACTGCAAATAAATAGTAAGAAACAATCCCTGTCCCAAAGGTCTTACAATCTAAATAGGTAAGTGGTGAGAGGGAAAACAGAGGCACAAAGAGTTGACAGGATTTACCTAAGACCACACAACACTTCATTGGCATAATTGGGACTAGCATCCTGGTCTCATACGCTCCAGTCCAGTAATCTACCCACTGGAACACGCTGGCTCAGTTTTAAGAGTGCAAGTAATCCCACTGACTGCAACTCACCGGTTTAAATGCTTTGCTGGATCGGGCCCCAAATTAAGTCCTAATCCTCAATCAAATCACCTTTTTGGTTTATGGTCCCTCAAACTGACGTGCAATTCCTGTTGTTTCTTCAGACGTGCACATTTGAAAGAATGCTTTGAGACGTTAAAACGCAACATCCCCAGTGTCGATGACAAGAAGACCTCAAACCTCAGCGTTCTAAGGAGTGCCTTGCGATACATCCAGGTATGGCCTTCTTGCAACTGATTGTTACTCCTGGCTGCTGATTCGAGAATGCTTTACTTGATGGAGCAAAAATCCAGTATTACGTTTTTATAAAGTTCATTGTTTTCATCTTTGGTTGTATTCTTTTGGTTTCAGTGCTTACAAAGGTAAAAGGAACAGGGAAAATCTCCTTAATTTATAGTTGTCATTCGTAACTTGCAAAATTTTCAGCATCTTTGGATCTGCTAGGACTACCTTGTGTAATCCAAACTCCTGTTGTCAGAAACTCCTAGTTAACCAAAAGTCATTCACGCCCATGAGAGCAATCCATTTTGGATCATATTTCACTCTGGCGCAGTGGGCCACCCGGAGGATTGTGCAGCACTTAAACCTGATTTTAGGGGGCTTCAAAAGGGACGTAAGTGGTCTATAACCCAGGCGCTGGTCCTCTGCACCCCTCGTGCATTTTTCTCCCTGGGTACCTAAAACACTAGTCATTTTTGTGACGATTTTGAATTTCTCTAAAATTTGTGGGGAAAAGAGGGCTGTACTGAATATATGATATGCTCTATGGCAGGAATCTTGAGCTACGGGCCTGGAAGCTATGAGTGGTTGTAATGCAGGAGTCGTCAATGAGAGATTAAGGATAAAATTCAGCCCTCGTGTAAGGCGGCCTGACTCTTGTTGAAATCGGTGCACAAGTTTTTCGTGATTATCTATAGCTAAGTGTGGCCCTGTCAGTGGTGAAGGCCGGAAGCCTTGTTCATATGCATTGCTCTGTAGATACCCAACACCTTTTCCTTCTTTAACGTTTGTCAGAGTGGTTAAAAAGGAATTCCCAACACGGTGCTCTGTGATTGGAACGTTACCATAAGCGTGAGTTAAAACTAGCTTTGTTATTTAAGATGGGTGTTTCCTAAATATCTGTACATGTGGTATCTTATTGCTGACTTTCAGAGGTGCTGAGCACCCACAGCTCCCAGTGATTTCACCTGGAGATCCAAGTGCCCAGCAATTACTTGCCAACTCTCAGGATGAGACCATGACTCATCCCTTGGCTTTCTTATCAGCTTTGCTCAATTGTTTGTTTGTTTGTTTGTGTTTTGCCAGGAGGGCTGCCTTCAGTGGGGGAGGTGTGGGGGTGTGGAAGCCAGCCAAATGTCAATGGGAACCAGCACCTAAAGGCTGTGTGAACAAAAGGAGCCGAGCCGTGTTCCCGAGAAAGGTCATTTCTGGAGACGCAGCTGTTTTGCAGCTAATGGGCATCAGAAAAGTCGTGAGCCTTTCGTCTAATTTCCAAAGCAGGTTGCTGTCAGTAAGGAGCTGAGCTTCCATTCGCGCTAACGGAGACAGAGAGAGCTGATCGCCTACTCTCACATCTGGGAGTCGAGTCCAGAGTCACGATGTCACGAACAGAGACGTCGCTGGCATTGTTAGCTGACACTCTGTGAATATTGATACAAGTGCAGATCTATCCCCGGGCAGACTGTTCACAAGCAGAATTTTTATGCTGTGCCTCTGGAATGCAGCTTAAAATTCTCCTGAGGATGTCATTGGGAATGACTGGTTCTCTCTGTCTCTGTAGTCTGGATCCATCGTAAAATGCTTTGGGGGTTAGGAACAGTGCAGACTGCAGCACCACACCGTAAACAGATGTGCAATCAGATCTGTAAATTGCTAAGAGTTAAGCTCTTGCACTAGTTAGAGCAGAGCGTTTTCCTGATGATGGAGCTGTTTGTAAGAGGAGGATAAATGTTTCCATTCAGTTAATGAAATACGTGGTCATGTCCTTAAGTGCCTAGGAAGCATAATCTGCGTTTAGGACAGTCCAAAACGTGGCCGTTGACTCAGAAGAGCAGCGCGCTTCCCATGAGTTTTCACCATGTGGTATCTGCTTCAGTTTTATCTCTGAAGTGCCTCTCCTTTGCTCATCCATTCTTCACTTAGGAGGCCAGTCATTATTTGTGCAGACCTGAGTGGCAAATGAAACTAATGTGATGCTGGGTTTACAGCTGCCCAGTTGCTTTTGAAAAATGTCTTGGGAGCTGTGTACTGTTTTGGGGGGGCCTGGGGAAAAACACATGCCTATGCACTCATCTGTACACCCACCGATTGGAACTGAAAGTCATGTCAAGGTAGTATATAGTTGCAGCATACCTAGCCATTCAGTCAAGTGACAAATGCAGAAATCCAGGCTGTTTTGATGCCAGGCTATTACAAAAATGGCGCTGAACTAAAGCAAATCTTTGTATAATTATCTCCATTCATCCTTCCGTTAAGTTCACAACGACCACATTGTGGTGTCAGAGCTTTCAGGTGCCTGCTGTTCATTTCTTCCTATTGTAAAAGCCACTTCTTGTCTTGGAAGTTATAAGCAAAGAAAAAAGAGAAGGTGAAAGGGTAAGAAAGCAACGCAGCAGCTTCCTCTTCCCCTTCTGCTCCAAGAGTGATCTCATCAGCTTTCCTCTAGTGAAGTCCTTGGTAGGTTTCGGCCAGACTGGGAGAATTGTGCAGCATGGGGAATGAAAACATAACTGGGCAGCTGACCAAGCCAGGTGTTAAGAGTTGTTAAATAGGGAGCCACCAATATTTGAAGCCTCTCCAGTTTCAGTCTTGCCTCTGAAATATATCCAGTGTTTCAACCAGCCCATAGTACCTGTGATAACCTCATAATGGCATTTTGCAACACCCTCGGTGAGCCTTCTGTAGGAGATAGCCTGGATTGCAATCTGCATAAATCCAAATGCAGTGGGTAAGCTCAGGGTAGCTTCTGGCCCCATAAATCCCAGGGTTCACAATAAGAGAAAGCACTAAGAAACAAAACTGGGGAGATTTCCTCTCAAAAGTGCAATGCACTGGTGTCAGAGATTGGCATGAAGATCTTCACAAACCCATCTGAACAATGGGCTTTGACTAGTCCAGAGAATGAGGGCTCTGGACTTTTCCCATCAAAACAGTTAGGCCATTGGCATCAGTGGAGGATTGTCCAGATCCTGTCCTACCTGCGCTCTGCTCACACGAGGCCCTACAGGTAACTGAACTGTTTCAGTTTCACTGTGCAAGGTTGGGAAGGTTATGGGGTGTGGATGTCTACCCGCCTGCCCACTGTGGAGCTTTGCACCGTGGGGACTACATTGGTGGTAACACAGGCCAGGGGACGGGGTTGGGGGCAGGTGCAACTGCAGATAGTGGGTGCACAGTGGTTGTAGATGCTTTTGTGGTTTGTTGTAGCATTGTGACGGGGAGGTGGGGGGAGGGAGGCGAACTCCCACAGGATCGGTGCACTTGGCGTTCGTACAAAGGGACAGGATTTGGGCCTGGCTGAGGAATAAGGACCAGAAGGCCAAGCATGATTGCCATCGCAATTTCATCAGTGCAGTCCTGCTGCTAACAGGACTGGTTAGGCTGCTCTTATTGTCTGGTGAATAATTGCTATAAGATATTTTGAAGTTTTGTGGTAAGAAGTGGAAGATGGGCAGTTCTGTGCTTTCCTTTTGAAAAACACCTCTACAGTCAGCTTCATATGTCACTACCAATTAAGATCTTGCCATGCTGGTCATAAGAAAATGTTTTACAGTGGATGGATTCAGCAGGGCTAGTTGGAAGCTGACAGTCTGTCTATCTTTATATAAAAGATTTAATTTAGTCACATTTGGGCAATAATATGCTACCCCCCCAAAAAAAAATCAGTTCAGTCTCTGGTAGCCCTTACGTCTCTTTCTTCCTGCCATTTCAATCCCCAGGACAAGACCAGTAGAGCAGAAAGATACCCCAACAATCCTGCCTCTGAAACATCACGGTAGTTAGTAATGCATTTCTCTCCATTCCTGGGTAGGGCTGCGCCTGCTAGCCCTACCCAGGGCGATGAGGAAGTGAAGCTAATTAATCGGTGTTTGCACTAAGCAGACAGTGTGTGGAGTTGATTCGTTATAAATGTAGGGGACCCAATTTGAAGTTGTCATAAATGTGTGTGATTCTGTTGGCAAAAGTGGAGCAACACCTGCTTATGCCATTGATGAATTTGCTGCAGAAGGGGAATCAGTACAGGTCCCCTCACTTTGATCATTACCTCTGAACACCAGTGCAGTGGCCTGTTCTTGCCACGTCTGAGTCTTGTGCTGGGCTTCAAGGCTGAGACAGGAGTAGTACTGCTCATTTGTATTGTATGACTCCCCACATACTAGGACTTCATGCTATGATCCTGGCAGATCTCACAAGCTAAACCAGGTCAGGCCAGATCAGTACTTGGATGGGAAACCCCAAGATCACTTTGGTGCCCTGAGAAGTGATATTGGTGATTCAGTAGGTGGCACTTTTTTCATGCTGAGTCAATAGTGAACCCGAATTCCAGCATGGTGTCAGGGGACTGCTGGCCAGGCCTTCTTTAGAGTGAGGCGTGAACTGAGGCCCCAGCAACTTGTAGTCATTAAAGATCCGAAGGCCTTTTTCATAAAAAAGCGCAGAGAAGTGTGATCAGGGTGACTTCCCCTCCCAAAATCCCCATGACTGTCCCGTTGTAAAATTCCTCCTACCACCTGCTGACTGAATTTCAGCTCTGTTATTCTTGCTGCATAGATCGGGTGTCTACTGTCGTGTTAGGGAGCTAGATGCACAACTTCTTCAGTTTCAGCTGGATACAGTTTTGATTTCCTCTCCTAAACGGCTATGGAGTGTTTCTGTGCCCTGTTCAGTAGCTCAGAGATGGGCCACAATGCTTGATTCTCTCTGTAAATCTTTTTGGGATCCTTCAAGATAATGATGTCACACCTGCAGCTCCAGGCGCTCCCATCCCACCAGGGGCATGTTCATTATTCCTGATCCAGTGCTGCCTCTGGTGTGCTGTCCTGGTGAATCCTGACACGTCCCTTTTAACGTGGCCTGAGTAGGCCACATCATCACATCCTCCTGCTTGACCCAAACCCCCCCCCCTTTCCGCTATTCTTCCATCAATGCACACCATCAGTTTTACACCCACCTCCCTTTTGTCTCTCCCCACCATCCCAGGGGGCGTGGCAGAGCAG